TGACTTGACTTTTCTAACTTTGGCAGGTCAATGGAATAAAGGGTGCTTCTGTGTTTTTACTTTTTAAACCATTTGACCTTGTGAAGGGTTTTGTTATTGACTGGATGCACTCTGTATGCCTTGGAGTTACAAAATCTATGATACATCTGTGGCTTAATGCAGAGAACCGTGGAAAAGAATTCTTCCTAGGATCAAGGGTAACATTAAATAAACTTTTAACATTATATCTTAAATTTCTGAGAAAAATCATCATCTCAATTGATATCTCTTCTGATTTTCCAATAAAAGTCATTATTTTTGTAAATATAATCACTGCAGTGTTCAAGAAATTTGACATAAGTAGTCAACCTGGATTAATTTGCAGTCACACTCTTTTGGCATTCTTACTGTTATAGATTGCGCTGTTGAATAAAAGATTGTTGTCTATAAAAGTTCCTGACATAATCACCCGTTGTCCAAGAAGTCTTGCAGATCGTGGAACTTGGAAAGGTTAATATTTTGTTACCATAAGAATATTTCAAATTTCTTAATTGCTTTCTTGTAAACTATTGGTTCAAATTGTGAGGGCCACCTGGCTTTAGATTGATGTGGTAGTGGGACTGCAAAAGGTTAATTTTTAGGATGGGGTGGGTAGTAACTGAAAAATATTAACTGTCTCATTCTAAATAAGGGCCATGCAGTACAATACTAATTATTGGTGTTGACTTATTAAATTTTCATTTCGTCAGCTACAGAGTATAGAAATTGGCTTCTTCACTATTCTGTACCAGTGCTGAAAGGTGTTCTTCCAGATTATTACTTCCTCCACTACACTTTGTTAGTGACAGCTATAGCCATCCTTGTAAGTGACAGAATAACCCCTGAACAGCTCAAGCTGGCTGAGGAGCTTTTGGACAATTTTTGTAAATTGTTGCCAGAACTTTATGGTAAATAGATTTTTACTTTTTTAAATAAGTTATTTATATTTGTCTGTTCCTGTGATAGTTTTTGAAAATTTCTTATCATTTCTGTGATTCATTTTAACTGCAAGCCTTTATACACGTATAATGTATTTTGCTGTAGTTGTTTAAGGGGTACTAACCTAGCTAACATATTGTTGCTATGGAAAGTTCACAACCCTCATATCTTGGAAACATTAACTTTTTATATCGTAAAGGTTTTCAGAATTGTCAAGTCACAACCTTATTTGGTAAGTCATGTGACCAAGACAGGGTGAGGCCTAATGTAGTGGCACCAAACAACATAAAACAGTGCTTACAAAATGCCTTCCTTGAGGCTTGTTTAAATTATACAACATATATTTTTTTTCCTGCAGGAGAAAGCAGCCAGACTCATAATTTCCATCTTCTCAGACATCTGACATACTTTGTTAAGCTGTTTGGTCCACTTTGGGTGTACTCCTGCTTTGGTTTTGAAGCACTCAATGGCTTTCTAACTACCATGATTCATGGAACTCAGCATATTTCTAATCAGGTGACAAAAATTTAACTGTTGATATATTTTAGTCAAATATGATGTGAAATGAATACTACTACTTAGACTGTGGACACATTACACTTTATTAATTTCAAGATTGGAATGCCCACAACTAGGTGAGGCTTATCAAGGTAGGCCATGCCTTAATAGCAAAATTACAAAATAAACAAATTAACAACAGGAACTAACTATGAGAGGAGAAGGGAAAAAAATAAAGGCAAGAAAAACCACACATTGACCTAATCAAAAATAGTACACACATAAAACTACTATGTATGTTTAAAAATGGGAGGAAACAGATCAGATTCATATCAGGAACTTTGAATCAAGCTTGATGAAAGGAAGAGCGGTAATTTGAATTTGCGCATCTCCAAGTTCCTTAAAATTTTGTTACATTAGGTTATGTAACTAAAATACAGGCTGAACATTGTTTTGTTTTCTACCTGTAGATTGCCTCTGCTGTTTCAATTTTTCGCAATTTTCCCACCCTAATCTCCAAGATGACAACAGCAGTTAACTCAGATTGTGTGATATCACTAGCACAGCACCTTGCTGGAGAGAGATCATTGTAAGTATTACACATGCAGGTGAGCCTGCTTCACAGCTGTTGAAATAATAAATTTTGAATTTAATAATTATTAAATTCAAAATTTATCACTATTTTATTTCAAAGGTGCAGTCCTAATTAAGAATTAAGGATAAGCATCTTGTGTCAGAGCTTTGTGACCATATTGGTTGTAGTGTCTTCAAGGAATGTGAAATGTAGTGACTAGGTATATGTTTCATTAAGGAAATTGTTTTTCATTTTGTAGACCTACACCTCCTGGCTGTGATCCCAAAGCATTTGTTCTTGGTGTTTCTAAAAAGGAACAGCTACACAAGCAAGAACTGGCAGTAGTAAACAGGTTTCTTCACTGTAGAGGATTGGCAGTTATTGGTGAAGGTGATGAGGTTGAAACTTATCGCAGAGCAGTTGTAAATGGTGCCATTCTTAGCAGTGCTCGTTGGTCCAAAAGCAAATTGAAGAACTCTTATACTGTTCAGTATGAGGATGCAAGAGGATTAACTCACTTTGGAGAAATACAGAAATTTTTAGTTTTGAAAGGCCATCATGTTGCAGTTATAACTAAGTTAGTCCCAAATGGGTCTTTGGTGTCAGGGATAACATCATCTTCAGAATTACTAAATAACTATTCAGATTCAGGTGTTTTAGTTCACCACATGGCAGTGACCAAAAGGTCAAATACTTCTTTTTGTATACCACTATGTCGTATTAAAAGATTGTGCATTGTAGTAAGTTCTTCTGGAGATAATATGCTGACATTAAGTACATTTCCAAATGTGGTGGAGCATGACTGACTTGTAAATTAATTAGATTCTTAATTTTTCTATGAAAAGAGTACTGTAGCCACTTGGATATAGGTTTTGGTCCTTTTGTAATATTCTGTTTGTTAATATGCATATTTTGTATCATACTATTACTCCCATGTAGATTTGTAGAATTAAAACCGACAATCATTATTTAAATACACTTTATCAGGCTTACAACAAATGTGTATACTATAACAGTTATGTGCTGTAGTACTTTTACTGGGAATAGCATCTTAGAATTTGTTGTTCCTATCTGTATAAGCTTCATCTGATTGATTACTGCCTGAATGACATGTGTGGAATGTTTGAAATGGATAAATTTGGGTGGCAAATCTAATCCCAGACTACATGGAGTTACAAATTCCACAGTTAGTGTCATACATGCACATAAGATGGATCCTTCTCAAGATCATGAGGGAGAGTATTTTTCTAGGTGGGATAAAGGATCCCAGGTGGAATATGTAAATCCTGAGTAGGATCCCGGGTGGAATGCAGAAGTCCCAACTAAGATCCCGGGTGGGATGCAGAAATCCCACCTAAGATCCCGGGTGGGATACAGAAATCCCATCTAAGATCCCGGGTGGGATGCAGGAATCCCGCATTTAATGCGGGATCCCGGGTGGGATCAAATATTCATCCCAGGTGGGAAAGGTGGGATCCCGCACATATCCCGCCTGTCATTTTACCTGGGTAGAGTGTGAAGATTGCTCTGTCAACTTGTCTGCATCATAACATTATTCTAAATGAAGTACAATAGCAGGTACTCAATCTTGTTGGATGTTCAAATTTTACTGGCATTCAAGTTGTCAATGTTCAACAACAGCCAAATGGCAGTGACTGTGGAGTATTTGCTGCAGCCTTTGCTACATGTCTTGTTTATGGTAAACACCCTGAAACACTGCAACTTGATTTCCCCAAAAATGAGAAACCATTTATATCAGTCTTTAAAATCTGGTGTATTGAAAAATGTTTCTTACATTTTAGACTGCGTAAGGTACATCTTTAGTTAAAAAAATTTTTGAAAAGAAAGAATAGCTTCTTTATTATAGAGAAAATAATATAGTTGCTCAATGCAGTGGACCTGCATATTGGAAAGGAATAATCAATTCACACAGTAAGTCTGAAAAAATTTCATGAAATATATGACTAACCTTATAACTTCATTGATCACTGAGCTCTTGATTGACAAACATGGGAATCATTGTTGCTGTTGTGTATGAACAAGACAGAATACTGCTGAAATACCAGGATATAATGCTCATCCTATGCTTAAAGAGTAGCCCCTCTCCAAAACCTTGGATCCAAAACCTTTATGCATTTATTCAAGGAGCAAATAGTACCATCATATATAGTAGACTACATATATTTAATTACTGGTATCTAATGTTTGGCTCTAAGCAGATAAAAATCATTTAGAGGATAATTTTATCTGCTTTGATGATGATGAAAATGACGATGAGCCCTTTATTCAAGTGTCAAACTGTACTAGCGGTGTAGAACCACTAAGTGGGGACACTAAAATAAGTTTAAAAAGATTAAACAAATTAATTAATTAGTTAAAGATGTAAAAAACAGAATGCTGAGGAAAAAGAAATTAAGAAAAATTTATACAGTGTCTGCAAATAAGAAATTCAGGAGAACTATATACAATATGAACAAATGTATCTGTCACAGATCAAATTTTATTTTAGGTTAGTTTTGATTTAACCAAAGTTGATTCTCCTTTTTCTTTGTTTGCTAGCCCTAATTTATGAATTATTAGGGCTAGAAGACAAAGACAAAGGGTTAGAAGAGAAAGTGAAATGATTGGATGATACAGTAGAAACAGCTCAAGCCTGAGGTCAAGGCTTTGAATATTGACGACAAAGATCCAGAATGCTGAAATTCAAGAAAAAGAATTTATGCATTGTAATGACTCTGAGTGGGTTACTGAATTGATTTTATTCCGATAATTGGGACTTGTGTACACAATAATTTGGTTACTGACCCGAGCACATGGAACACACTAACACGCTCCCTAACACACTCTCGACGCGCATGCTCACTCATTTGCATAAATGCATCTCATTACATCCCTCTTCTTCTTAAGGTTAATATTATGGATACAACAACTCAACATGTCGTGCACGAAGGACCAACTAATGCTCCAATGTTCAGTACATAAGGTTCAATGATAAACAATGTTCAATGTCCGAAAATCCATATCTCTCTGGTGGTTTCACCGTGCGTCCACTTCTGGTGACTGTCCCAGGTTTGCTAGGGTTCTGCATCTCTTTTCCTGCCATCAGTTTTGAGTCTTCCGGCTTTGAAGCTTGATGACTTAACCATTTATTATCGGAGGGTGCTTCCTTGACATGTCTGCGATTACGCCGTAGTTCCTGTCCTGCTGGTGTGGTTACTGTATAAGAACGTGGAACTTTATCTGGCTTTTCTTTTACCATGGCAGGTTTCCAAGTGGAAGATACTGGATCTTGAATTCTGATAGGTTGACCTGGGGTTAGGTCTGGAAGTGACTTACATCCTCTATCATGATAATGACGTTGTCTCTCTTGCCTATATTCAAGCCTTTCGGTGATATCATCATTGTTGGGGCTTGCCTGGATTCTCCTCGGGAGATTATCTTGTAGTGGTCTTCCGAGAAGCAGTTCAGCTGGTGAAGGTAATTTTTCATCAATGGGGGTGCTTCTTAAACACATCAACGCGAGATAGGGATCGCTGTTGGTTGCTTTGGCTTTCTTCAGGGTTTTCTTTGTTGTCTTGACTGGCGACTCAATAAATCCATTGCTGGATGGAAAGTGGGGGGAACTCGTCACATGCTTGAAACCATATTGTTGAGCAAATTCAGTAAAACTGTAACAATTATAGTGAGGACCGTTGTCAGACCTTACCACGTGTGGAATTCCATGTTCACTGAATATCTGCTTCATCAGCTCAATAACAGTCTTGCTGGTGCTTTTCCCTGGCGGAATTTTCCTGGCAAATGTGAACTTAGAGTAGTAATCTGCGACATGCAAATATTCGGACCCGTCAAGGTAGAACAGGTCAGAACTCACTGTATGCCAAGGACGTGGAGGAATTTCTGTTGGCATCAATGGTTCTTTTCTTCTGCGGCTCTTGACAGATACTGCATGATTTCGTGACATTGTCAATGTCTCTGTTTAAGTCTCTCCAATAAAAAGCAGATCTTGCACGTAATTTTGTTTTCTCTGTGCCTTGGTGTGAAGCATGGAGTTTCAGGAAGATTACATTCTGCAGTGCTTTAGGGATGATAATCCTGTGTCGTTTCATTATCAATCTGTTGTCTATGGATATTTCATCTCTGAATGCCCAGTATGGCTTAATGAGAGCTGGTACTCCTTTGATGTCTGAAGGCCAACCGATGTATGTTTGTTCTTTCAATGCGCTTAATTCTGGATCGGCTGCTGTAGCCTCCTTGATTCTCTTGATCATGTCGTTGCTGAATTGAGGGCGTATTTCATGTATCTGGATGTCCATGCCTTTGACTTCGCCAGTTTCCTCTGGTGAAAGTCTGGAAAGAGCATCTGCGATTTCCATAGTTTTTCCTGGCTGATACTTTATCATGAGATCATATGGTTGGAGCCTGAGTAGCATCCGTTGAAGTCGGGGTGGAGCTGCTGTCAGGTGCTTCAGGTGTATGCTCTCGAGCGGTTTATGGTCAGAATGAACAGTGAAGTTACGGCCAAACAGGTAAGTGTGAAACCTTTCACATCTGTAAACAACAGCTAGCATCTCTCTCTCTATATTAGCATAACGCGTCTCTGTGTTAGTCAAGGCTTTGCTTGCAAAGGCAACAGGCTTCTCATCTTGCAACAAGGCTGCGCCAAGTCCTTGAAGCGATGCATCGACTTGAAGGACAATCGGTTTTGATGAATCAAAGTAGGTTAACATTACTTTGTTGCTTATAGATTCCTTGATTTTGTCTAGGGCTTGTTGGTATGTTGCATTCCAACAGAATGGTGTCTTGTCTGTGATTAGCTCTCGTAGTGGTGCAGTCAGGGTGCTCAAGTTGGGTATAAATGGACTCATGTAATTTGCCATCCCCAGGAAGGTCTGGACTTCTTGCTTGTTCGCTGGTGGTGCCATCTGTTTGAGAGCTGACACTTTGCTAGGATCTGGTTGGATGCCATCCTTGGTACAGATTATTCCATAGAATTTGATCTGGTCTTGTTTAATGAAACATTTGTCGGGGTTCAACTTCAGGCCAGTTTCTTTACATCGACTGATCATACCATGCATGTTGGCGTCATGTGATGCTTCCGAATCTCCATAGACCACAATATCATCTGCAATGGCAATGACACCACGACATCCTTCAAAGGTTTGGTCGATGCGGGTTTGAAAAATGTCTTGCGACATTTTCAGTCCAAATAGCATTCTCTTGAAACGGTAACACCCATAGGATGAGTTGAACGTTGTAAGGTAACTCGAATCTTCATCTAAGATAATGTTCCAATAGCCACATTTTGCGTCGACTATTGAGATTACTTTGGCTCCATTTAGCTTGGGAAGAATTTCCTCTAGAGTAGGGGTGACGTGGTGTTCACGCTTAATTGCGTCGTTTAGGTCTTTTGGGTCTAGACAGAGGCGGAGCCTTCCATTTGACTTTCGTCGGTAGACAAGACTATTGACCCAAGCTGTAGGTTCGCCTTCCTGTATCTTTGCTATGATGTCATTCTTTACCATGTTGTCCAATTCATCCGTGATTTCATCTTTCATGCTGATGGGTACTTTGCGTGGGGGATGGACTACTGGAGGTACTGCAGGATCCAAGGTGATATGATACTCACCCTTGAGCTTTCCTATTCCATCAAAGCATTCTGGGTACCGTGCGATGAGATCTTGTTTGCTTCCGATTGGTGCCAATCTGACTGATTGAGTACAAGGTTCAGGTTGTGGAGATTTTTTCACTTCAAGATTGAATTTCACAAGGTTGAGTTGAGTTGCGGTGTGAAGATGATTGTGGGACCGCTGGTGTCTGAGATAGAAGGTTGCTGTTATCTTGATGCCTTTGAACTCACATGGGATTTTGGCTGTACCGAAGTGCTTGATTTCTGAGCCACCATATGCTACTAGAATGACTTTTGATTGGCTCAGTGTTCTTGGCCTTGGTTTGCTGTTGGCGTTGATATTTTGGGGGTACATGTTGTGATAGATGTGGAGGGGTAGCACGTTTCCTTGGGCTCCCGTGTCGATCTTTGCTTTTAGAGTAGTTTCCTCTTTTCCTCTTCCGGCGATGTCGACGTTGACAGTAGCAAATACTTCATCTTTATCTGCTTTGATAGGCTCAAATGCCAAGGTCTCGAAATTTTCTTCAAATGATATAGCAGTGTCTTGAATTTCGTGAAATCTTTGTTTTGATCGCATTCTTTTCCTGCAGACTTGAATAAAGTGGCCTTTCTTTTTGCAATAATTGCAGGTTTGACCTCTGGCTGGACAGGCTTCGGATTTGCTGTGAGAGCGACCGCAATTTTCACAATTATTAGCTGGATTTTCATCGCAGTGCCAGTGGGCTGCCTGTGTAGATTTCAGGTTGCACTGCTGGGCTGCCTGTGCAGAAGTGCCATGTTTTGGTTGTATATTTCGGCTCTTAGGACGCGAAATAACATCGATTTTTCTCTCGTTTCCAACGGGATTCATAGCTTTTAGCTGAGCTTGTGATGCTTCGTAGGATCGTGCGATGTTGATAACCCTTTCGAGAGTAACACCTGCTCCTTCGTTGAACAGCATTTCTCTAGTTTTCATTGATTTGGTGCCAAAGACAATTCTGTCGCGAATCATCTCATCTGTGTTGGTGAATTCGCAGTCTTGTGCGAGGATTTGAAGCTCAGTGGTGAATTGCTCTACGGATTCATCAGGTGATTGGATCTTCTGATGAAATTTGTATTGTGCGAAGACAGGATTAGACTTTGGACTTACGTGTTGCTCAAATCGATCGTAGTAGGTTGGCAACTTCTTTTTGTCGTCTTGTGTAAAGTTTTGCCATGTGTTGAAGATATCTCTTCCTTTCTGACCACTCTAGATTAAAAGATAACTACATTTCTCTGCTTCTGAGCGTGATTTTAGAGGACCCGAAAACATTAATTCAGCGTGTTGTTTGAAACGCCTCCAATTTTCTCGAAGATTGTCGCCAACCCATTGCATTTTTGCTACGTCAACGCCGCTGAGTGCCATATTTCCACTCCTGGTGCCATGTTATGACTCTGAGTGGGTTGCTGAATTGATTTTATTCCGATAATTAGGACTTGTGTACACGATAATTTGGTTACTGACCCGAGCACATGGAACACACTCTAACACACCCCCTAACACACTCTCGACAGGCAT